TTAATATTTACTAATTAATTGATTATACCTATCTCAGTGCACATAGTTGCTTGGCTATGTGTACATAGCCACTTCCTTTCTTCTTCTCATACGTTTAGACACAATCTAAAGTCCGCATAAAGTATACTTAATTACTGGTATCATTTAACTATAGAAAAATCTTCTAAACACTAATAGACTAAAAGAGCTTATGAAAGATACTGTAATATCAAAAGACTTACGTCTGCTTCTTGTATTAATGTGATGTATACTGTAATGACGAATATAACACGTGGGCAATGTATCGATATTGTTTAGTAAAGAAAATGAAAGCATTATTTTGCTTATGTGCATATCGAAACAATGTTTAGTTTGCGTGCATTCAACCATATACGTGGGATAAAGCATAATCATATATTAGTGAGACAGATTGTTTTTTTTTTCCATAAAAATATTATGATTCTTTTGCTTGTTCTATCATTTATCGATCAGACAGCTTGAATAATGAAGAGAGAGTTAATCGATGGCTGGAAAAATGTGCATAATATCACGATTTTATTTTTATTTTTCTTCCTATCGTTGTGCAGAATAGGCAAAATATACAAGCTTCACAAGCAATAGTATACTACTTTATATTGTCGTTCCTGTTAAAACCGAGCTCAACGGTCCCTTCTGCCCATGACAGAAGATATTGATTTCTACTCCCATGTTTGGAAGCATTTTTTGTCTATATACATATTCCTCGTCAAAAATCGATATTTGGATGAAATCTTGTCCTCAGAGTCGTTTCTGATCCTCACAAAAACTGGGGAGTCACTTTCAACAGCTGCCTCGGCTACCATCGTCGTGTGTATCCTTGCTTTGATTCAGATTCCTTTTCCAGTCGTTATTTTCGTTTAAGTTGCAGTTCAAATTATCATTCTGCTACCCTATCTCGGTGGGAAGTCAGCTTCCCACACAACTTACACTCTCAACTGACAGAATCAGTTACATTATCAACTTCAATCTTGATATCAAGATCTATCAGACTGGTTCTGTTTAGTAGTGACTCTGTCAAGCCAAACTTCTCGTTCAGCGATTACTCATTGTTCTGTACTATCCCAAAGTTTTTCATGGAGCAGTACTCATTTTTATAACAGTTGCATTCGATTTTTGTCCTCAGTTGGCATCTTAGCTTTAGAGTGTACTCTCAGTTTGATCATGTTCTTAATTAGGGTGGCAGCTTCGAACTTAACTACAATACTCAATGCAGATGTATTTTGGAACCACCACTTTCGGTAGGCTCCGGTAACTGCATCCGATAGTTCTTCAAGTTTCGGTAAGAATCGTTTCAGACGCTTACGATCCTATTTTGGCACGAATTCTATCCTACAAGTGAACATTTGCAACTGATAAGCACCGCTGGTGCCCGTTCTTTGTTGGCGGTTAAAGCTCATCAGGTATACAAATTATCGAAAAGAATCCGTACCATTACTGCTGGTTTCAGAGCGAAGAGAAGGAAAAGGTATCATGGTAAGTAGTGCCACTTTTTCTGTTTTATTTATATTTTTTGTCATACGTTAACTAGGACATACATTTTTCTACTGAAAATTTCATTACTAACTTATCTTTCTTGGATTATTTACCCACAAATTTTTAGTCAAATCTGGCTTTGTGTCCGATAAAGAGACAATATCTTATTTCCAATTTTTTTTAAAGACACTTTCGTTGTTTTCAACGTCAAACCCAATGAAGATTGCAATGATCTTCTTTAATTTCCTGAAGAGGAAAAGAAAATTAAAATGAAAAAACAGTTATAGTAGTTTTCTTTTCACGAATAACTGGAAAAGTAAACAAAGAAAACAAGTGAAAGAAGCTTGTTAGCGCAGCTCCTTTGGAGCTGAAATGTGGAACTCATGTATGTGCTTCCGAGTTGTTATCCTAATGCATTATTTGTAAACTGAAAAATAGGGTTTTTTCGAATAATTATGAATGCATTAGAAAATTGTATAGAATCTGAAGCCTTTTGTGCGCGGTTGCTGAAGTCTGTAATGGGGGTATGTCTGTAATGTTCTCTTCCTCGTTGCTATGTGTCTACAATGGGTTGTGGGTGAGGAGGAAGCCGGAAAACCTTCACCTTAAAACTTACACTCACTATTTTCTTCGAAAATATACGTTAGTTCCACAATAAAATAAACGCTCTAGGGAAGGTATCGAGTAATGTGTTATATGGATGATAGTTTTGAAAATAAGTGCATGAAACAAAACTTCAACATCCAAATAAAAAATTTTAAAGCAGAGTAGGATAGAACAGAAGGGTTCGTTCCATGCGACGTAAAGAAGGATACTTTTTTTGACGACAATGCGTAACATATTGTTTGTTTCTGATAAAAGAATAATTAGCAAAACTTCGGTTTTGTCTCGTTTGCAAGCAAAGTCAGGTTCAACTCAGAATTTATGGACGAATAGCCATATACAGAATAATTTAGTAATTAAATTTTAAAAGGCAAAAGAAATATTTCCTAGCTTAAATAAGAGACGATAAACAAATGACTCAGGAAAGCTAGCGCTAACCATCGTAATGCGTGTTCCGTTCCTAATTCTGAAGTCAAGCGGCAATGGTATGAATTCTTTGAGATAGTTTTTACACACGTCCGACAGGTTTTTGTTTGTGTCGTGCTTGAGCGAGAACTCAGTAGGAGGGTAGCATTCTCAGCTAAAGTGTCGGCTTCGGATACGATCCTTTTAACGTGCATCTGCACCTTTATCTTATATCTTACTGGAAATCAGATTCACTCAGCGTCAGTTTTATGTGGTGTAGGAAGCATTCTCATTCATATTCAGTGATCATGGAGAAGTCGGATCTAACTCACCATTGTTTTTTAATTTTTCTGTCCATTAATGTATATCATTTACGGAACAATATGTTCTTTCATGATATACTAAAAAGTTTTTCTTCCATCAAATTGCGTTCTACTATTCAGCGCATTCGTATATTTAACATAGAATATTATTTAGTTTTTTTTGTCGTTATCAGGAATTCATGTAGCTTCATTCCATTAGCACTTTTTCGACTTATTATTAAAAAAAGTTAAAAAAAAACCAACTGACAGAGCCTAAATGATGATAATGATTATTATCAAAAATATAAACGTTCATAATGATTATGTTACAAACATGGGTATACCTAGGAAACTTTTACGATGCTTCAGAATCAGGTTCGTGAAGGATACGAACACGGCCTACAAGCATTCACAGTTTTCTCCTGAAGAAGCAGCTAACCCCTGAAAAAATTGTGTAGTTGCATAGTTGTAGGATGGGTAGGGGTGTGGGTGTGAGTGGATGTGGATCTTGTTTATCCTGTTGACCTACACTCACCCACACCCTTAAATTAACATATACGCACTAGGATAAATTAACTCATACAATACTCGCAACAAAACCAGGTGTTATCGAGAATTTTTTTACAACACAAGCTATCGATTGTGTACTTACCAGAATATCTCTCAAATCCATTATTAGCAAAAGAAAGAAGGAAAATTTTTGGTAGAGGAAGAATTTGCAAAAATATCCGCAAACTGTTCACCGAAGATCATCTATCTCTGTTCGATCATATCTTGTGTCATCATTGATGAAAAATCTTGTTGTCTCTTTCTCTTAATTACTGCCCATATCACACGTACTTCGCGATTGTTGCTTTCTAAAGTATTTTTTTACCTTTGCGGTCTTCTCTACTTATTTCTCTGATCTACCAGTCTTCTGTAGCTGTATGTTCATCTTTTTTTTTGTTTCAAGATGGGTTTTTTCACGCGACAGGTGCAAGGTTCGGTCATAGCATAAATAGAGCATTTTATTACTACTACTATTAGAACGTACCTAGGTTTTCTATCATTCTGAACAAAATATTTACTCACAATCCATTTCATCAAATGACACAAAAAAATAAAATTCCAATCAATAATAAGCAATTATCATCATGTAGAGTTAATTTAAAAGTTATAAAACAGTATCAATTTAGATTATTGTTATTTCTTCAAGATCATACTGGGTTTTGTCATCTCACGACCCTTACAGCTGAGGTAAAATTATAACCATAGTAGCTGCTCTTATCCTCAAAACGCGTCATCGTTTGCTTGACTTATCACTAAAACGAATCAATTAACTAATGCTAGCCACTTGATAAGATCTATAAAATCGGAACTACATATGTTTATCGTGCTGACTTTGCTCACATCCTTATCCTCACCCATCTACGATCTAAAAAAAAGAATTTATTATCGAACTTTTAAGGTTTCGTAGATTCCATAAAGAATTTTTC